CAGTCTACAAAAACTAAGTATCACATGATCTCACTCATATGTGGAATCTAATGAACCAAATAAACTGATGAACAAAAATAAACCCAGAGACATAGAAGCATGTGCAGACTGTTGAACCTCAGAGGGATGGTAGGGGAGGATGGATGGGAAGACAGCAACCAGTGAACTTGTATGCATATATGCATGACCCATGGACACAGACAGTAGGGGGTGAGGGCATATGCTGGGAAATGGGGCAGGTTGGGAGAGATCATTGGAGGAAAACAGAAACATATATAATATTTTCAATAATAAAGAATTTAAAATCCTATATAATAAAAGGCTAATATGCAAATTTCCCCCACGGGAGTTTAACCGACTCAGAGTTTGACCACTCGCTATGACATGTGCTGACCACCGGGGGGTGGCGTGGAATGAAGGAAGGTCCTGGCTGGCAGCTGGAAGGCCCTGATCAGCCCTGATCACTGGCCAGGCCTAGGGACCCCACCCATGCATGAATTCATGCACCAGGCCTCTAGTATAAAAAAAAAATATATTACATGCTAGTATGTTCTTTGACCATAGAGGAACTAAATTAGCAATCAATAACAACAATATACCTAGGAAACTCCCAAATATTTGGAAGTTAATATACAAACTTTTAAATAATCCATATGTCAAAAAAGAAATAATACAGGAAATTAGAAAATACTTTGAACATTTAAATGATAATAAAAATATAAGAAATCAATTTTTTTCAGGGTACAGCTAGAGCACTGCTTATAGGGAAATGTTTAGCATTCAATGTTTATATTAGAAACGAAGAAAGACATAAACGCTATGGCTTTAGGTTTCACCTAAAGAAACTAGAACAAAGGGGAGTAAACCAAAAGTAGATAGAAGGAAATGATAAAGAACCCCCAAAAAAATTCAATAAAAGAGAAAATAGTCAATAATAGAGCAAATTAATAGACAAAATTTAGTTCTTTGAAGTGATCAACAAAATGAATACAGTTTATTGTAGGTAAATTATACCTTAATAAATTTTATTTAAGACAATATATTTCTGGAGACATAGTGTTTTCTTTTCTCTAGTAACTGAGTTAGTTATATGTAAAAACACGCTATTCAGGTCTAATGCTCCATTTTTTTAAGAGTTATTCTTAAGGTCCATGCTTAATTACTCACCTTCTGGTATATCTTATAGATACCGAAGTAAATGTATCGATTGAGAAATGCTCTTAGTTTCCACAAAGCTGTGTCACAAAAAAAAATCAAGAGAAGGCAAATAAAGCCTATGGTACTCATCATAACCATATATAGTCCAATCCTTTTCTTTTCCAAAGAATAAACAGTCTTTGCAGCATCTGAGAATGGCAAAGGGAGAGAGAGCTTACTGCAGGACATTGACACAATAAATACAGTCTAAGAAAAACAGCAAATAGTAAGAAATATAGGATAAAATGAAATGTTAGGCTAAGTTGACAAGCATTTAGAGTGTGAGAAGTGATTGTTCTGCTACACAAATACCATTTGAATAATAAATTTTGAAAGCTTATTTTCAAGTTAATCAAATAAGCCTATTACTATTGACATGTTAATTGATATGTTTCATAATTATTTCATGCCATAAAAATATTCCTTAAATCCTTTCAGAAGTGTAAAATCTTACATTGATAATTAGAGGAAAATATTAAAATGTAAATACTACTGAAAAAGATAACATACTATGCTTTATTATTTTATTTATTTATTTATTTTTACTATGCTTTAAAATGGTAAAAAAAAAAATAACCATCTGACACTTGTGAACTTTTTCTTTTCTTTTCTTTTTTAAAAGAATAGCTTATTGAGTTTTAGAGTGAGAGGAAGAAAGAGGGAGAGAGAAGGAGAAACATTGATATGAAAGCAGAACATCAATCATCTGCCTCCTGCACACAGGCCCCTATTAGAGACAGACTACGTGGTCCAGGAATTAAATTGGCAACCTTTCTGGGCACAGATGGTGCCCGGCCAACTGAGCCACACCAGCCAGGGCCTGAACTTGAGAAGAAAGTTGAGTAAAAAGAACAGAATGAGTGTTATGATAGAATTGCAAATGCCCCTTATTTTAAAAAAATTAGAATGGCTTTAAATTTACCAACAACAAAAAAATGAAAATAGTACAGAGAAATAAATCCATATACCCTGCATCCAGTTTCTCTTATTATTAGCAGCATACATCAGTGTGGTACATGTTACAAATATTAATACATCATTGTTAACTAAAGTTCCTAATTTATTTGGATTTTCTAATATTTAAAATAATGTAATGTTCTTGCCCTGGGCAGGAGCTCAGTTGGTTAGAGTGCTGTCCTGAGGCTGTGGGCTCCATCGCCAGTCAGGGCACACTCAATGATGCATAAGTAAGTGGAGCAGCAAATCTCTCTCTCTCTCTCCTCTCTCTCTCAAAATTAAATAAATAATGTAGTGTTCCTTTGTTGTTGTTCCATAATCAAATCCAGAATACTACATTTAGTAGTCTTGATTCCTTAGGTATGTCTTGGCTGTGACAGTTTCTCTGATTTTCCTTCTTTTTGATGACACTGACAGTTTGGAGTGGTATTGGTCAGGCATTTTATAGGATGCCCTTCAATTGGGATCGATTTTTTTTTTCATAATTAGACAAGTCTAATTATAAAAATAATTAGGGATTTGGGGAGGAATATCACAGAAGTGCCATTTTATATCATCAAAAAAATCCATACTATCAGTATGATTTATCACTGTTGATGTTGACCTTGATCACCTGATTGAGGTAGTTTGTCAGCTCTCTGCTGTCAAGCTACTCCTTTCACTCCCTTTCCATACTTTATGTGCTCCTTCACTTTTCCATCCTCCAGAAGTAACCACTATGAATAATTGCGTTCTGAAATCCTATCTTAAATACAAGTAGACAATTATACATTTATATATATTCAGCAAATAATACTTTAATTTTAAAATTTGAACTTCATAAAAATAGTATAATACTTAATGTGGTCTTCTGGAAACTATTGTTACTCCATGTTATTTTTTTCTGATCTCTCTATTTTTTTAAAATATATTTTATTGATATTTTACAGAGAGGAAGGGAGAGGGATAGAGAGCTAGAAACATTGATGAGAGAGAAACATCAATCAGCTGCTTCCTGCACACCCCCCCCTGCATGCCCTTGACCAGAATCAAACCTGGGACCCTTCAGTCCGCAGACCGATGCTCTATCCACTGAGCCTAACTGGCCAGGGCAGATCTCTCTATTTTTAATCTTTAATATTTATTTTTCCATTAAACTTGACATTCAATATTATTTTGTATTAGTTTCAGGTTTATAGTATGGTGATTAGTGTCCACCTGACACCATAAAGTTATTGTATATTATTAACTATATTTCTTATGCTGTATTTTACATCTTCATGACTATTCTGTAACAACCAATTTGCACTGCTTAATCCTTTCACCATTGCCACCCAGGTCCCCAATTTCCTCCGTGCTGGCAACCATCATTCTATGCTCTGTGTCTATGAACCTGTTTAAATTTTTGTTTGTTTCTTTGTTTTGTTCTTTAGATCCATATAAGTAAAATCATATGGTATTTGTCTTTTTCTGTCTAACTTTTTCACTTAGCATAATATCCTCATGTCCATCCATGTCACAAGTGGTAAGATTTCGTTCCTTTCTATGGCTGAGTGGTATTTCATTGTGTATATGTACCACCACATTTTTATCCGCTTGTCTATTGATGGGCACTTGAGTTGCTTCCATATCTTAGCTCTTGTAAATAATGCTGCAATGAACTTAGGGGTGCACATATTCTTTTGAATGAATGTTTTGTATATGTATCCAGAGTGGAATTGCTCGGTCATAAAGCAGGTCCACTTTTAATTTATTAGGGATCCTCCATACTATTTTTCTACAGTGGCCAGACCCGTCTGTATTCACTAACAGTGCATGAGTTTCCTCTTCCTCCATGTCCTTCAGGCAATTGTTGGTTTGGTTTGTTTTTGGTGTTGAGTATTAGGAGTTTTTTTAGTCTTGGCAAATATCTTCTCCCCTTCAGTGGGCTGGCTTCATTTTGTTGATGATTTTCTTTGTTGTGTAAAGTCCTTTTACTGTCATGTAGTCCCACTTGTTTCTTTTTTTCTTTACCTCTTGCATGAAGAGATATGTCAGAAAAAATACTGCTAAGAAAAATGCCTGAGATATTACTGCCTGTGTTTTCTCCTGGGACTTTTATGGTTTTGAGTCTTACATTTTAAGTCTTTCATTCATTTTGCATTTATTGTGTGTGGAGTAAGAAGGTGATCTAGTTTCATTTTTTGACCATATCTGTTCAATTTTCCCAACACCATTTATTGAATAAGCAGTCTTCACTTCATTGTATGTTCTTGCTTCCTTTGTGAATTATTAATCGACCATGGACTTGTTTTGGGGCTCTCTATTTTGTTCCATTGATTTATGTGTCTATTACATGCCAGGAACATGCTGCTTTCATTACCTTATCCTTATAGTTTAGTTTTATATCAGGTGGCATGATAACTCCAACTCTGTTCTTCTTTTTCAAGATTGCTGTGGCTATTCAGGGACTTTTGTGGTTCCATACAAATTTTTTGATTATTTGTTCTAGTTCTGTGAAATACACCATTGGTATTTTGATAGGAATAGCATTGAATCTATAGATTTCTTTGGGCAGTAATTATGTTAATTCTTCCATACAAGAGCATGGTACATGCTTCCATTTATTTGAAACTGCTTCCATTTCTTTCTTCAGTGTCTTATAATTTCCTGAATACAGGTTTGTTTGTTTATTTGTTTATCTCCTTGGTTTAGTTTATTCCTACGTATTTTGTATTTTTGATGCAATTGTAAATGAAAATATATTTTGATTTTCCTTTCTGCCAGTTCATTTTGGTGTGTAAAAATGCAACCAATTTCTGAATATTTATTTTGTATCCTGGTATTTACTAAATGAATTTATCAGTTTAATAGTTTTTGGTGGAATCTTTAGGGTTCTCTATGTACAATATAATGCCATATGCAAATAATGATAGTTTTACATCTTCCTTTCCTATTTTATCTGCGTGCTATGGCTAGGACTTCCATTACTATGATGAATAAGAGTGGAGAAAGTAGATGACCTTGTCTTGTTCCTGATCTTGAGGAAAACACTTTTACTTTGGCCCCGTTGAGTATGATGTTAGCTATGAGTTTGTCATCTATGGCCTTTATCATATTGAAGTATGTTCTCTCTATTCCACTTTACTGAGAGTTTTTATCATAAGTGGGTGGTAGAATAGGTCCAATTCTTTTTTATATCTATTGATATGATCATGTGATTTTTGTCTTTCAATTTGTTTATGTAATGTATCATGTTTACTGATTTGCAGATATTGTACCATCTTTTTTTAAATCTTTATTGTTCAGATTATTACAGTTGTTCGTCTTTCCCCCCCCCATAGCTCCCCTCCACCCAGTTCCCACCCCACCCTCTGCCCTTACCTCCCCACCCACTGTCCTCATCCATAGGTGCACGATTTTTGTCCAGTCTCTTCCTGCATCTCCCACACCCCTTCCCCCCACAAGAATAGTCAGTCCATTCCTTTTCTATGTCCCTGATTCTATTATGATCACCAGATTATTTATTCACTTGATTCTTAGATTCACTTGTTGATAGATGCATGTTTGTTGTTCATAATTTGTATCTGATTGGTAC